TAGGCCCCGCCCCTCGCCGCCCCTCCTCTCCCCGCCCCCGGCGCGAGCTGCCTGGCCGGGGTTGGCCACTCCGCCTTCTTCCGGAGGGCGTGGTCCCGGGACACCCGCCACTTCTGAGCGTACGGGTGAGAAGAACTGGGCTGGCCTCTACTGCCTGTTGGCCATTTTTAGGATTGAGGGGCTGAGAATACAAGGGCTCCCGCAGTGAATATGGCGGGAGTGAATATCTCCCTAAAGGGACAATCTCTTGAATTCGCTCAGGTACTAAAGAAATATTGAGTCCTAGCCATGAGCCAGCACTGTGCTAGGCATCCAAGATGCAGTAATGGAAAAGACATAGCCTAGTAGGGAGCCAAAGAAGCAGGCGATGATATTTTAGTGTTAAAGGACGTTTATCATGGGAGCAGAGAAAGGATCTCTAACTAGAGGGAGCGAGGGAGGGAGGGAGAGAGAGGGAGGGAGAAGGAGGGAGGGAGAGAGAGAGAAGAAGGGAGGGAGGAGGGAGAGGGAGAAGAAGGGAGGGAGGGAGGAGGGAGGGAGGAGGAGGGAGAGGGACAAGAAGGGAAGGAAGGAGGGGGAGGGAGGGGGAGGTCTTGAAGAGGAGGACATAATATCTGAGTTAAGGGGTAAGAGTACACTTTTACCTGATTGTACGGAAGGAAGAAACCTTACCTTTCAAGGTTTTTTTCAGCTGGTCTAATTAAATTGTCATGAGGCAGATTAACACAAGAAAATAACTCAATTTAATTGCATACCTATGTGTGGGAATCCCATACGAGGGACTCAGAGACATACATGAGAGGTTCTGAAATAGAAAGGGAAAATGAGCTACGGCCATGCCACCCTGAACAAGCCTGATCCCGTCTGATTTCAGAAGCTAAGCAAGGGTGGGCCTGGTTAGTAGTTGGATGGGAAACCACCTAGGAAAACCAGGTGCTGTAGGCATTAAAAAAAAAAAAGGAAAAATGTGGAATATATGACATTCTGAGCTAAGGATGAGGTCAGACACCTGAGGCTTCAGAGGGAAGGAAGGTCATTCTCAGGATAGGGCTCAGTTGCCTTTAGCTCAAAATAATCTACTTATCACAAAGGCTCATCTTGGGGTGACTTGTTCTGAACACCTACATGGTTAAGGAAATGGGCAATTTGGGAACGAGGGAGGCAGAGGAAACATTAAGTATAAAAGTTGGAAGACAAGAGTGGGCATAGCTTGAGAGGCAGAGATATTCAGACTCAGGCAGGCACAGAGAGAGGTGGATAAGTGAAGCAACAAAGACATGAGCCCCACAGCCATGGGCGAGGACAGATGGGAGGCAGAGATGCTTTAGGACACTTACAGAGAAACAGGCATGCCAAGGCTTGTAACTTCAGATGGACACACAGAGTCTATGGACACACAGAGTCTACGCACACATAGCACCAGGATGGTTCTGTTCTTGAATATCCAAGGAACTTGCCAGAGGGGCTCAGTCTAAGTAGTTTCAAAGATCTCTCATCAAGAGAACTGCTTGGAAACCTGATTGAAAGCTCAGATTTCTAGGCTTCACCCTAGGTACACTGCCATCTAATCTCAAGGCATACTTTTAGTCCCCCTCTTTCTGGTTAGGGGAACCACTGGTTGAGGAAAACTATAGTATTAATACACGAAACCTTTTTGACAAACTGTGCTAGTTATTGTCTCTCAGGTCCATTTATTTTGCCTGCTCTGTGAACACGGATCTGGATCCGTTAAGTATTTTTTTTCCTTTGCCCACTGGCAGAATGTTAAGCTTTCTCAGTTAAGTTTCTGTACAGACACTGGAGAGGGAATGGTTTTCCGTCCTGGTTCCAGTGTGCTCTCTCATAGGCCCTTGCAGTATGTGTGGTTGTCCCGTGCCCAGCTTCTGAAGACCGCTTCCCTAGCACCAGGCTCCTGCTGCATATAGGGACCAGCAGCACTTAGCAGCCCGCAGCTATGAAAGCCCATTGTGTTTTCATAGTGGAGGCCCTCTAGAGAGATGCCTGTGAATAGCTTTTTCTAGCATCCTACCTAGAAGGTGATTTTCCAGGTAGGATGTTCCACCAGCACAGCACTACAGCCATTTTTCTGCCATTCAGTGGGCCGAGACTGGATCTCAGCCTGGGGGGAGCAGGGGGCAGGGGGCAGGAGATTCTTCCTTAGGCACTTTATCTTACTATCTTGGCCCTATGGGCAGTGGCTTTCTTATATTTGCTATTCTGATATTCTTTAGAGCAGTGGTCCCCAACCTTTTTGGCTTGAAGGACTGGTGTTCCTATGAGAATCTGGCATGGTGAGTGGAAGGGACATGGATATTAGAGCCTGTCTTAGCTCAGGCTTCTAGAATAAAATATCATCCACAATGAACACAGTGTGTTGTTGTCTTCTAGTTCTTTCACAGCTGACTCAGTAGTCAGGGGATCTTGATGACGGCACAGTGGTCAAGTTTGTGTCTCCTGGGGATGCTCTTCCAAGGATATTTGGATTGCCTTTGGAGCCACAGCGTCTTGGGCCGTCGGAAGGTGGGTGATTGTGTATCTTCTTTTTTGTGTGGCTGTGGATGCCTTTCAGCACTGCTTTCTTTGCCTTCAAAGCCTTTGCTTTGGCTTTGGCTTTGGGAGGGGCAGGGGGCTTCCTTCTTAACTTTTGGCGCCATCTTCATGCAAAGGTATCCAAACCTTTTGAGAATGAAAGTAGAGGTCATTAATAATTATGCCAGGCCAATAGGCATAAACCATGACTGTTCCAGGCAAACCAGGACATGTGGTTTCCTCAAAGAAACCGACTTTGTGGTATTGTTGGGAGGAATAAATATGACAAATGCAAACTCCCTAGCACATTGCTTGGCACAGGGTAGGTATCAAAAAATATTATAAGTCTTCTAATTGCTAGAACCTCTTCTGGCCTCCCTGGCACTGCGTCTTCCCCTACTGGCAAAATGCTCACCTCTTAACCCTTCACCCACCTCCCCACCTGCCAAGCATCTCCTTAGGTCCAGCGAAGGTTAAGGCTCAACATCTTGGTAGCACTGGGGAACGACTGTGCACTGGGGATGAGGAAAGCAAGATCACTGTAAATGGGGGTGGGGGCAGTAAAGGAAAGGCAGAGGAAGAGTGAACGGCTCAGAGAATTTAGGGAAAGTGGTGAGGTTAAGCAGAGAGAGCAACATTTACTGAGAGGCAGCATTATGGAAACTCATTAAAGATGACAAAGGAAGACCTATCAAAGAGGACAAGAAAATGCATAGGATTATAGTTCTTATATGTAAATATATACATAATTTCCATTTATTTCCATAAAAATAAGGCTGAAATGAACTATAGCAAATGTTACTAGAAGTTATCTTGGATGGGTGCAGGATTACAGGCAAAATCCCAGTGCGCATACTGTTTAAAAAATTTCAAATAGCACAAAAGGGTATAAGGGAAAAGAAATTCTCCCTCATATCCTGATCCCTGTTTTTTAAACAAAAGGCATCTGTACACAGTTTTGCACCCTGTTTTTCTCGCTTTACAAAATTCTTAAGAGATTATTCTTCACTTGATAGTACATATTGATATGTATATCGGTATGTATCATGTTGATAGTGCTACATAGTGTTACATCATTTAGTTGTCCCATAGTTTATTTAACCACTCCCTATGGCAGAAACCATTGGTTGGCTAATCCAGCACTCATTCCCAATCTTTTTACTCTGCTATTGATCCCTAAATACTTGCCTTCCCATCCCCTCTTGCAGCCAAGTTGCCCATAGGATATGGCTCTGGCCGATGAGTCTGAAGCAGAAGTCTGTGAGGAGGCTTCTGGGAAAGCTCTTACTTTTCTCACAAAGGGAACAGATATCACTCCTTTCCCCTTCCTGCCTAGAATGCTGATGTGGTATCTAGAGTGGAAGTGTGCTGTCTTGCAACCACGAGCGAAATGCCAAGAGACTGAGAGATGTTGGTTCTGATTGTGTGCTCACTGAACCAATGCCAGGCACAGCTTGCCTCCAGACTTGTTATGTGAGAAATATAAGCCCCTTTTTCTTTCAGCTACTGCTACTCAGACTTCAGACTATATCAAGGTATCTGTTACATTCTTGATATAGTCCCCACTAATGGACATATAGGTGTCTTCCAATCTTTCAATGCTAATAATGATATGACAATCCATATACACACATCTTTGCTTAAAATTTCATGTAGAATAAATTTCTAGATGTGGAATTGCTATTCATTTTCAATTTTGATATAGCCAGATTGCCTAAGTTTTATCAACTATATTTTTTGTATCTACAGATCTATGTATACTATCCTCACCCATTCCAGTATTATAGGTGATTTTTTATTTCCTTTTTTCTGCTTTTCTTTGCCATATTTTCTATAATGAATATGTATTAAGAAAAAAATCAAAGGGAAAAAGATTTTTAAAAAGGAGAGTTCAGGAATTCTGAGTTCCAGACGGTAAACTTGGGTAAGCCATTTCATTATTAAGCCAGGGGGCCTGGGAAATGGGCCCTTTCTGGCTGACAGTGTTGTTGTGAGGATAGGAATGTATAGACTGTAGTCATGTGTAGATGGTGGGTTTGCAGACAGTGGCTGGTGCTTTCTTCCTGGTATACCCCACCTCTGGGTGCTTTCTTCCTGGTATACCCCACCTCTGGACCTCACCTACCCGAGTGATTGTTTGGCAGATGCTGGGGTTAAGCAGATGCTGCTGCCTCCTCTCTCAGAATGGCTATGTCAATCTATGTTTTCTACTAGCAGTATATGAGAATAACGGTTTCCTCACACTCTTGCCAACATTTGATATTGTGAAAAATAATCATTTTTCACAATTTGATGACTGAACAATTAATTATTTAACTTCTTTTTGCCTTGGCTTTCCCATCTGTTGAAATGAGCTGTTTGCAGATTAGATAAGCTATTATATATATTTAATAATTGTTCCTTTCTTCCCTATTGGGCTTTGGGTTTAGGGTGATATTATCTGATTTTGAATACCAGCTCTGCTGCTTTTCAAGCTATGTGACCTTGGGCCAGTTACTTAACTTTTCTGAGCTACAGTTTCTAGTTCTGTAGAACTGAGTTAATATTCAAGAGTTTTTGTGAGGAGAAATTGAAACACTGCCTAGCAACATGTCTGTCACATAGTGGGTACTTGATACATGCTATGTTATTTGGACTAAAAGTTTTGTCTCTCTTCTAAGCCATAGGAAGTGAGGATTCCTAGGTTTGTGTACAGAGTGCACAGAGTATGCTACAAAGAACCTCTTGCAAAGAGCTTTGGCTGCAGATTACCATAAGTCGCCATGGATTCTAAAACTCTCAAACTGCATGGAAAGCTGTCTATGCAAGATTACCTGGTGGCATGCCTGAAAGAATGGAAATCCCAGCCTCTCAGGGGTTTCTGAGAAGGACTTGGCCCTTTTCCTTGGGGCTATCTCCTCCTTCTCTGGGCAATGTGAGAAATGAAAGCCCCTCTTTCTTTCAGGTGGTCCTAGCTTCCAGCCCTAGCTGTATGACCCTGAGCAAGTTGCTTAACCTCTGAGAACTGGTTCTGAGAAGTGGGAAATAGGGTTGTTGTGAACATTAAATGAGATCATCTTTGTAAGGAACATTTGCAAGGTGCCTGGGTCATGGTCAGCACTCCATAGAGTTTGAGGAGGTGCTGTGTTTGCAGTTAATGCCAAAGGACAGAGGGATCTAATTAAGCATGTCTTTCTAAGCTAGTAAAGGATCTCTTTGGATCTTTGTATGAATTTTATATGGTAAGGAGCAAAAGGAAAAAAAAGTCAGTGCTCCAGCAGTTTGGAGTGATACAGAATTTCATCTTGTTTTAAAGATCAAAAAGTTTCCATATTTGTAGTTCCTCATATCACTATTAAAATCTATATTTAACATTGAATTTTGTTTGAAAACTAATATATGCACATGTTTAAAAAAATTATCCAGTACCAAAGAGTACAGAATGAAAATTAAGCCTTTTTTCTACCCCGGCGCAAGTTTGCTCCCTGTTAGCAATCATTAACAGTTTTTTGTGATTCTTCATAACACAACTTGTGCATGTACACCCAAACCATAGAGGAATATCTTAATTCTTCATTTGTTGGTATCTCTGAGAGATCATTCTATAACCATACACATAGATCAGCCTCATTTTCTCCATGGTTACAAGTCCACTGTAAGAGTGCACTGTATTGTTTCTAACCAGTCCCATATAGCTTGACAGCTGGGTTATTTCCCGTCTTCTTTTAACTACAAGCAGTGCTACAACGAATATTATTATACCAGGTCTTTGTTCAAAGGTGGGAGTTTCACAGTTAAAGATATATACAGGCACAGATTTTTAATCACCCTTCATGAATGATTAGCTATGTTTGGGAAATGCTGATCTGGATGATATCCTTAGGATCATTCCTTATCAAATATTTCCTACTACCCTTCCATTCCTCCCCTCCTCCCCCACCAAACTGTATTTTCTGAGGTCTTACTCAGGTTTCTTGGCACTCTGATTCTCAGAGCTTTGGGGAGAACTGGCAGAAAGAGAAGGGTGAAATAGTATACTGGAGAGGTTTGCAGATTTTGCTTGGCAGTGGAAAGACCAGAAGGAGGCTGGGACTCTCCCATAGATGACTAAGATAACTAGACCAAGGTTCCTCATCCCCAGCATTGATGACTTTTTGGCCAGATAATCCTTTGTCATGGAAGGCTCTCCTGTGGATCCCTGGTCTCTACCCACTAGATGCTACTAGTAGCTCTTCTACCCAGTTGTGATAAGGCCTTATGTCTCTTGGGGCAAAATCTCCCCTCCCCTCCCACCTTGAGAGCCAGTGCTCCAGACAATTCATTGGTGGTAAATTACTCACTGAACATTTTCTAGGTATCCAGCATCCTGGTCCTGAGGGCTTTTGTATGATCCGAATGAGTGCACTGCTGCAGGAAGATGCCAACTTGCTCTTTCCCGTGGAGACAGCCACAGCCACCTGAGGGTCCTGTATGCGTTCTCCCTCTGGTAATCCTTTCTTCTTACCTCACATTGCTCAACACACTTGAACACAGTCTCATAACACTTTCAAATAATACATTATCCTCATCACTCCCAACCTAGGAGATTCCCTAGGGAGAATGACTGTTTTACATTTAGAACTCTTCCTCTGCACATAGATACCTATTTTAACATAAAGAAATCAGGAGTTTATTTTTGTTGTTGTTTAATTTTAAATATAAATGGGAATTCACTGTATGTTTTGTTGAACTTGATTTTTTTTTCAATTAACAATCCAGTTAATAGTTGGCGACTGGTCTCTCTCTGTATAGTTCTACTTTCTTTTTTAAACTGCTGCACAGTATTCTGTATTACGTGCATATCACCAGTTAATCAGTTTGCAAATTGATTAGCAATTATGTTTTCAATTTTTAAATGTTCTAACAAAGCTGACAATACCGTAATGAACACCCCCGTGTATGCGTCTTCGTGTAAAAAAAAAAAATTGGCTATCAACCAAGAAGTGGTATATACACAATTTTATAAAGACTGCCAAATAGCCTTACAAAAAAAGAGCTATAATCACTTCAAATTCCCTCCAAATGTAATTAAGAATAGCCTTGACCCCCCCATCACAGACCACCTGGGTTAAATAACCAATTTGTGAATCTAAAGTTTCGCCATTCTGCTCTCATTAGCCTTTCAATTTGGAGAGCCACCTTTTAAAATGCAAATTTTTTAATCCACCTCTAAGAAGCCTTTCAGGAGCTTTCCCGGTCTCAGAATAAAGTTCAAATTCCTTAGCATTGCTAACACGATCCTGGATCCTGGATCCTGGAGGTTTCTTACTCTAGAAAACCTTAGCAGCGTCTCTGGTCTGGGCGGAGTTTCCTCCGGTGTCTTTATAGTCCCGGACACGCGTTCCCCGGCTTTGGGAGCTCTCGGCACAGCGCAGCACCCCGGTCTGTTGAATGGGCGACTGCAAGCAGGGACAGCGTCTTGCTCATCTCTGACCCCAGCCCTTGGAGCTCAATAAATGCAGAATGAGCAAGGCCACTGCAGGAGTGAGGTCTTGGGGAGCCAGAGGGACGCTATCACCGCTTCTGCGGCCAGGCCCCGCACTGGGAAGCGAGCAGGGACGCGCTCGGAAGCCACCGGGCGGCTGCCTGCGCCCCTTCTTTCGCAACAGAGACGCTCCACGTGCTTCATTTCCAAATTTCTCTGCAAAACTTAAAGGGAGCCGCTCCCGCAAGGTCATAAGCCTGGTATGAGAACAGACCGAGGCGTGTCTATGTATCTCCGTATAAAATGCTCATGGTGACCAACAGAGGGCCCAACAAAACCCTGAGAAATGTGGACAGGACCAGGCTGGAGCGCCACTTAGCCATTGCACTGTTTCGGGAAATCTTTAGGGTGCCCATATAGGAGTTTGACTAGTTACCTTTTAAAGATGGGAACGACTTGAAGAAATAAGCCCCCACACCTATAGCGATTAGAAAACTGAATGACAGCAGTGGCGACGCACAGGATGTTGCACTGAGGCCCAAGCTGATCCGACAATCGACAAACTACTGTACCTCGGCAAAAAAGGGAAAAACCTCAGTGAACAAGCTTCAGCCAACCATCGGCCTACTGGCAGCAGCGTTTGCCAAGAGCAGCAGGGCAGAAATTCGTGTTTTCCAACTCAACAGCAGTTTTCACGTGAGACTTTTTACAAGGTCTTAGGTACACAACGGGAGTTACTTTTTCCTTTGGCTTTCCCTTAACAGTCGTCCAACGATAGTGCTGACTAACGGTGAGAGCCAGCAAGTGTCCTTCTTATAAATTGTTATAAGAAGAAACAACGGGAAACTTTACCACTTGTTTTCTCTGGTACCAAATTGTGCGGAAAAGGCGGGAGAGGGGCCTCAGGGACCAGACCCAACAAGCGAAGGACAGAAAGTAAGGAGGACAGAGCTGGGGCCAGGAGAGCCTCAGAACCGGCCCAGAGGGCACAGCAGCCCTGGGGCTCTGTCTTCTCGGTGCAGTCAATCAGCTCCTTTTCGCGTTGCGATTGGCCGGGGGCTTTCTTGGCTTCCCTGGCGCCCACCTCCTAGTTGCTTGGGGTTTACTTCCCCAAAGTACACGGGCCCCACCTTGTGGAGCAACCGCTCCTGCATCGGAAAACGGATCTCCGCCCAGAGAAAGCCGTTTTAACGAATGGGAGCGGCCCCATGCATTTATTGGTAACTATGGGTATCAGTCAAAGAACTTCCCATCCTCCTTTTCATCGTACCTTTAGGTAGTTGGTCTTTCTCTGTGCCAATCCGTTACTAGGGAAACGAGATCCTCAGAGTCTCATAGGCATGAGTCGAAGCCAATCAAGAGCCACGCCTTCATCCTGAGTCAGTACCCAATTGCTGCTCGAGGAGCCCAGAGGACGCAGTCGGGATTGGTCATTAGCCTGCCCGACCTGGCCGCAACAAGTTAGGCTGAACCGGCGACGGAGCACGCGTGTGTGCGGACGCAGTTGCGTGAGTAGATTTTTACCTTCTGCCGTGTTGTGGAGCAAAGCTTGTTCCTCTCCAGCTCAGCCGCGCAGGTACGCCGAGGTGTGGGCGGGGCCGGGCAGCCCGGGGTCGAGGACCAGCTGGGGCGGTTGTGGGAGGGCGGCGAAGTCCGAGCGGC